GCAATCGCATGTTATAAAATTATTTTGAAACTTCACTTGCATGAAGTTTTGAATGACGCAACTTTTTTTCACCAGCACTTCTCTGTCAATCCCACAATTCCCAGTGTGAGCCTGTGCCTCAGCTTCCATAGAGAATGCATTAAAAATGGCTGCTCAGTTCCACGCCGGTGAATACGTACGGTAAGCATTTTCTTGGGAGTGATCCGTTATCATAAAAGAGATGTCATGTGTTGTGTTGTGCCTCAGAGTGCTTCACACGCCTGATTCATAAAGACATCAAATACAGTTTATAATTGCCAAGGAACGAGAACAGCGCCGGTATGATGCAAAAAGGAACGCCAGTGGAAATCACCGTTTTATCTGCACTCACCGAGCAGCACTTTAATAGCATACCTCCATCAGGCACAAATCTTGCAGACCGACACTTCTATCAGATATAATTATATTGGATACATTTCTATCACATTTTCCTCCTTCCAGCAGATATAGAACTGATTAGGTCTGATTCCCAGACAGAAAATTGGTGCAGGAATGCTCTAAAACCAGGTTGTTCGCATTTTCCAGTGGAGATGCTGACACCATGTTTTGTGCCTTTCCTTATCCTGTTTTGCTATTCTTTATCCCCATATTATCCACTTTAAGCCTTTACCAATCTATTTTTCTTGCTCTTTTATGTGTCTGTTGCCCCTGCCTTTCATTCCTGCTCTGCACTTCTCTGTGGGCGTGAATTCTCCCACTCAGAAAAATTAATTCTTAATTACAATGCCTGGCATAAACTAATGGTGTCTTACACAGCTGTCTCACTCATGTTCCTGCTAGACTGATAGACAACTGGGTTGTAGTTATCCTCCTCCTTTTGAATTGCTGTTCATTGTTCTATTATTACAATTATAAGCTTGTACAGAGATGTTTGTGGTGAATACCATAAATGACTGAATTTGCATACACTCTTAAAAATTAAGGTTCTTTATTGGCATCTATGGTTGGTTCTATGAATAAATGAAGAACATTTGGCTGTACACTCAAAATGCTGGGTTGTCTCGGCCCAACTTAGGGTCAAATATGGACTAACCTAACCGTTGAGTTTTTTTTTTTTTAAATAACAGTTTGGTAAGACTTTATAATAACTTTCATTAATAAATCATTAGCATATATAATGTTTAACAGATGATTAGTTCAAATATATTCACATGGCAAGATATATGAGATAATGTGCTTGTTAATGTTTACTAATGAACTTATTAAACATAACATAATTATCTGTTAATCATAAGGTAAAGTAATTGCTTACAAATGTCATTAAACATTCAATTCCTATGTTCATGCTCTACTTAAAAATCTACAAATGATTAAAAGCTTGTTTGTTAAAGGTGACCTATTATGCCCCTTTTTACAAGATGTGAAAAAAGTCTCTGATGTCATAGTGTATGTGCAATTTTAGCTCAAAATACCCAACAAATAATTTTTTTTATAGCTTTTAGGGTATGAGCCAAAACGCGCGTTTTTGTGTTTGTCCCTTTAAATGCAAATGAGCTGGTGCTCCCACCTCCTTTTTCAGAAGAGGGTGGAGCTTCAAGATCTCATGCTCTGGCATACAGGCAACAACAAAACAGGACAATCTCATGCAATCTGATTGTACTATGCAGTAAATTCGCGTTTATGAATTACACAGACGGGGAGCACGGCGCGATAAAAATAACGACATGGTCTCACTGGAACGCTGGTCTCATGGTGCCTTTGCATGCTATCACATTATGTATCACATTACTTTGTCTGAAGTCTGGATGTTTGCGCATGAAGCGTTGCTATCGGTCCCTATTTCAGAAGCAATCTTTGCACAGCTCCAGCGCTGAACTGGCCCTCATTTGTGAGGCAGTCCGGCGTAAAATGATTAGCACAAACACATTGGACTTTTTTTTTGGTAACACTTTATTTCGATAGTCCACTTTAGACATTCTATTAACAGTAAGTAACTTTGCAACTACATGTCAACTAGCAGTTAGTAGAGTATTAGTAGACTGTCTGCTTAATATTTTCTAACACTTTCTTTGTCAACTTATTCTACTAACCCTAAACCTACCCTAACAGTCTACTCTGAGAATTAGTTGACATGTAGTTGACATGTATTTACAAAGTTACTTATAGTTAATAGAATGTCTAAAGTGGACTATCGAAATAAAGTGTAACCTCCCCCCCCCCCGACATTTCCTTTGAAATTTAACCACCGTGTCCTCAGCAGTCTATGGAGACTTCTGTGTTCGTTGGTGCATCCCGAAACTCAACACTTGTAATGCTTCTTTGGCGCTGACATTGTGTCTCCAGCAGCTACAGCAAGAAAACAGCAGTGTTTTCCATACATTGATTTATTTGTTGCGGCCCGCCACAATATCAACACTGACTGCCACAAATAGATTTTCCAAAATGCTTTGACTTTGTTGAATAAACATGAGCTCTGCACGTTTTAAAGACAAAATGCTGCACGCGTGTTTTTATATGAATGTATCTTTGAAGAAAAATATGTCTTTAGAAAAGTTTTGATGTAATTTTCATTTAATCATTCCTATAACGCCTGATAAAGTAGCGTTTATGAGAAATCGCTATTTCTGCTATTCCTAAAGTGCCTCCTCCTGGCAGAGAATGAATGTGAATTTTCAATAAGCCCATTTGCCGTTTTATATATAGCCTATATTTACCCCGGGGGAAGTGCCACCATACATTGAGTGTAAGTCTTTGGGAAACACTGAACAGTAATGGCAGACTGATGCTTCTCACTCAGGGCAGGGACTATGCTAATAGACCCCTTTCACATGACGTCACGCTACTTCCGTTCTGACTCGAAGCAGTGTATGCTTACTTCCGCCGGCACAGTAAAACGCTATCGCCATCAGCATGGAGTTCACCCAGACACTTATACATCTGCCACAAATACGATTAGAGGATGATTGCAGCTGTCTACTCCCGTCCTCATTCAAGGAGAGGCATCTGGCATCTCACAGATTTCACACAATAGCTCACTACCAATTGGTTCAACGTTTGATGTTGGATATTAGACAGATATCCAGCCATGTAAAACTTCAATTAATTCTTAGTGGATGAGTATAATTGTATAAAGGATTGGTTTATCGGAAAAGTATTAGAATGTAGAACTGAACACACAAAGCAGTTTATTTGTTTTAATCCTCCTCGATGTGTTGCAAGGCATAAAGGCTCCAGCAGTGGCGCTAGCTCTTAGGCCAGGTAGGGACTGTCTACAAAGTATATGTGGAAGGATAACACGATTTTATTTACAGTTAACCAAACAAGAGCAATTTGTGCACCAAGGTCTTTGAAAGATACACAGACAAACACTTTTAAAGCTCACTTGAATTTAAATAAGAAATACTGTAAAAAAAAATATGTGAAAGTGGTTATTATTATTATTATTATTATTATTATATTATATTATTACTATTAATAAATATTAATAATATAAAGAACAATTTTAAAAATCATTATCATTCCATAATCCAAATGTTATGCAGTAAGCCTATTCCAGGTCCTTGTGAGATTATTTTAAATGGTGGTTGCATTCACAGAATACATTAAATACACTCTTCTGTGTCGGCTTCATAGTGTGTGTCTCGTTACTGGTTTTTATTAGAACATTTTTATATTTGTTTTAGTCACAAAACTATAACAGAACACATACTATTGAAATTCAAAAACTGGTGTTGTTTTGCAGTTGTTTTGACTTGAGTTTGAAATGCACAATTTTCAATAAATTAATTTGTAACCTTGTTACAGATTAGACAAACATTTTGATGGTAGTTTTAGCCACAGAACTATAATAGAACACATACTATTGAAAATGAAACCAATACATCATTTAGTTTAAAATAAATATAATCTTCTATTTTAACTTGAAAGGTTGTGTCTTAGAGATTCCTAGTCAAACATTGTCTAGGTGTTTTCATTGTCAAAAGAGATGCAGAAGTCATGCTACTGACATTCAAGAATCAGTTGCAAAACCTTCCAAAGAGTATCCAGTATTGGCAAGAGAGTAAGATATTGCATTTGTTTTGACAGTTTAAATTCAAACTTTTAATGAATTAGTCTTCTATTTCAACTTCAAAAGGTGTGTCTTGTTACTGGGTCCTAGAAGAACATTTCCATGCAGAATAGTGATGTTAGGTTTTTGAACGAATCATTCTTTTGAGCCGGTTCCCAGGAAGTAACCGGTCGAGCCGGTTCACAAATCGAACTGAATCGAACTTTAGTTCTGGGTTGATGACGCAGGACGCACAGCCCGAAGTACCATGCCCAACTCGAAAAGAACCGATTGAGCTGGTTCAACCAACTGTCGAAGTTTGCTGAGGATTACAGAGGACTCAACAAGAACCGAATGAGCCGTGGCGAAGTTTGCCGAGGACTACCGAAGATTCTGATTGAGTTGACGATACTGTGCAAGCCTGAGGCGCATACTGGAAATATGCTTATTATGACCTCATTAAAACCTGAAAAAAAAAACCTTTCTGTCGAGTGATGTAAATACATTTTACAATAGTTTATTGTGCATGCATATTATATTTAAAGTTGCTTAAGCGAAATCAAGGAGTTTATAAGACATGTAGAACATATCCGCGTTTGTGCATCGATGTAATGTGTAATGTCTGTAATGTGTGCTGTAGGTGTGAAACTTTTAGGAATCTTATCAGAGTTGTAGGCTAGTCAATATTGGTCAGTCAGTCGTATCTGACATAAAGGATCAGCGAATGAAACTGTGACCGCAAACACCATTTACTACTTAAACTCCGTGGACTTGGATACGGGTCCAAAATCAAATAAAAATGTTTATGCTTCATTTGCAAAGCCTTCCGTATATGGTATTAGCTCATATATGGTATCATTTGAAAGCTTAGAGTGTCTTCTTTACAAAGTATACACATAGAAAAAGGCAATCTGCAGTCGTACACCAAGTCCCCATATTTGTAAGCTGTACTGCCCGCCACATTTAGGCTCTGTTGTGTTACACTGTGGTGTAGCAAGGAATGTCCGGCAATCCACAGGCAATAGGTGCCCTTGCTTTCTTAATATGGACAATAATCCATTAAGCGCTCTGTGTGTCGATGTGTGGTCTAAGGCCAACTGTCTTAGGTCATCTTCAAAGCTGCTGGTCACCTCAGCTTCATCATTTGGTTCATTTTCTGAGTCAGTAGACCAATAGTCCACATCAGTGTCAAAGTCAAAACTATCTGATGTCCCAGGAACAGTGTTACTGATGAAACTATGTGGGGTTCCAGGCACATTGTCACTGTTACAACTATTCGGAGTCCCAGGCGCACGGTCACACTTTTTTTTTATGCCACAATGTTCATCATCACTGTCAGAATAACATAGAAGTTGATTGAGTTCTCTTTGGCGTTTTCGCCACTGTCTCATCCTTAAAGCCATCTGTAAACACAGATGTGAGCCCAAGTTAAGGTTACTTGTACTGTTTATTTGACTGGGGCAAGTGCAAAAAAAGGAGGATGAGGTCATAAGACCTTGTTTAGGTGCTCCTAAGGGGCAGGACACCTCACGCCACGTCCAAAATGAAGGAGACACCGCACGCCACCTGACAGAAAGACAAAAGAAACACCCAACTAAAGCTTTTCAATACTCAATAGTATTGAGATGGTGTGGATTATCTATACACTGAAGATCAGTGTTAAACAAGTAATACTATTCAGTGTTCAAGTTAATTGAGATAAAGAAGTGATGAATTAACACCTGCTGTTAACAAACAGAATTAGGGTTTCCGTGATGCGGAAAACGCAGACAGAATTGCAGAATATGGCAAATATTAGATTCAGTCATTTTTAAAACACATTATAACTCGTTTTGTAGTGTGTAACGTTTTATGATGGACGCGAATACAGTCGCGTTGTGCTTTGAACTCTCAAAGAAACAGATCAAACTACACGTTATATGATTATATTGTATATCTTGAAAAGGAATACGGTTGTGTTGTTAATCACTGAGAGATGCAATGCTAATTGTAACTTAGACACAGCAGGTTTAGTTAAGACAACAAAGCCAATTAAAACAGCTAACATTATAAATACATCAAATTGACTAAGTGGACCGAACCTACCTTCAACTGAGTAGAAAACGATGATTTTGGATCACTTTGATTTGATGGAAGCTGAACAGAGCCGAGCAGCCACTTGCTTCAGCAGTACGCGCCGAATGCTTGTTGCCTCGGCTAATCAGAGTGGCGTTTACTGTTTGGGTTATGATGAGGTGGTGCCTCAGCCAATCAGAGTGGCGTTTACTGTTTGGGTTATGATGACGTGGTGCCTCAGCCAATCAGAGTGGCGTTTACTGGTTGGGTTATGATGACGTGCTGCCTATCAAATGCAAGTTCCACCGCTGCGATGTTAGCTTTCGTCTAACTCAAAAGTTGGAATGCTTCATTTTCTAACCTACAGTGTTGTATTTGCCTTGATAACATGTTAAACGCAATCGTAGACGATATGAAACAAACCGGTTCAGAGACAATTAAAATAAACAAGTAAATAAGAGAAAAAAACAGTAAAATGTAAAACATGTACTCAATAAATAAATAATTAAATAACAAATAATGTTTCATCACAAATAACCTATATTGATATTCATTAACCATGTTGATAACAACAATGTTGATATTTGTCTTAAATAAAATAAATATTACATTAATTGATAATGTAAATTTCCTGCACATGCCTTAGACGTCCAAAAAGTTATCTAGTCCGACATTCAAATGTTGAACTGCATATTGACTTTCAAATGGGGTATTGGTTAGACGTCCAAAAAACGGACCTAGTTTGCACGTTGACGTGCAGAATTGGTCTTGGACCGACGGATGCAATATAGACATCATCTGCACGTCCATCAGACGTCTAATGTTTAGTGGGGTGATTCTAAAACAGTGAATAAATATAAACATTTGCTAGCTGTCATAGCACAAAATTGTACAAAAGGCCCATTTGACCCCACTACTGGGGTTTATTCTGGCTTATAGTTCTATGAATATATACAGTTGTTTACATACCCCTTGCAGAATCTGCAAAATGTTAATTATTTTACAAACATAAAAGGGATCAAACAAAATGCATGTTATTTTTTAGTACTGTCCTGAGTAAGATATTTTGCATGAAAGATGTTTACATATAGTCTACAAGAAAAATAAATAAAAATAAAAATAATTTATTCAGAAGCTACAGAATATACTTATATGTTTCCCAGAAGACAAAATTAGTACAATTTACCCTGATCTTCAAAATTCTAAAAGTTTTTATGCATCATAGTTTAATGCATTGTGTTTCTTTCTGCAGCATCAGTGAATGTTTAAACCCGCTCAGTAGAAATTCCGTGGTTTGTGAGATGCCTAAACACACTACTGTCATCAGTGTGAAAATATATCAAAATCATATACAGTCACTGCTGGAAAGGGTTCAACCATGCAAAAGATGCTGGAAAACCAAAGAGTTTGTAGGACCTGGATGATTTTTCTGAAGAACATTCGACAGTTTAACTGCTCAGGACAAACAAGGGACTCCTGAACAAACATCAAAACAGTTTTTTTCTTAATAGTTGAACTTCAATGGCATGTGTTTTTCTGTGTCTACAGCAAAAATAAAATGTTAATAAAATGCATGCATTTAAATGAATTTATTAACCTATTTGAATTTAATTCAATATCATTTGTCCTGAATTACATATGAGATTTAAGCCTGCATGGTAATGTTATTTTGGGAATCTGAAACAAGACACACCTTATGAAGTTGAAAAAGAAGACTGTATTGATTTTAAATGAATTTATTAAAAGTTTAAATTTAAACTCTGTCAAAACAACTGCAACATCTTCCTCTACGGGGAAGTAATACTGGAGACTCTTTTGAAGGCTTCACAAGCTATTCTTGAATGTGAATAGCATGACTTCTGCTTCTCTTTTGACAATGAAAACACCTGCAAAACGTTTTTTTTTTCTTTTGAGAAATCTGTAACAAAACACAGCCTTTGAAGCTGAGATAGAAGATTGTATTTATTTTAAACAAATGTATGTATTTGTTTCATTTTCAGTAGTATGTGTTCTATTATAGTTCTGTGGTTAAAACCACCATCAAAATGTTGTTAGAAACCAGTAACAAGACACACCCTTTGGATTTGGGATACAAGTCTATATGTATTTTACATACATTTATTACATTAAAATCTCATTATCATTTAGCCTGTAGCACTTATGCTATTAAAACCAACAGAAATTATTTAATTTAGGATGTAGTAACAGAAAACACCATTTGAGTTCAGCATTGAATGCCAAATATAATTTATATATTTTTTTCCAAAATTATAATTCTTAATATCATTATTATTATTATTACTAATATTATGATTCTTTACAGAATCATGTAACATGTATTGTGTTGTTTAGCAAATGAGAGTTGTTTGTTTGTGTGTGTGCATTTAAATCCTATTGTATACAATTTGTTAGATTTTTTTCAATAGCTAATCAATTTGGATGTGGAACCATTGAGTGTTTATTCACTTTGTTTTGTACTTAGATGGCCCGTATGCTACAACATTACATTATACAATATATGAGTTGCGATACATCAAGACAGAATAAGACTCATATACAATACAGTGTGTTTTCTTCTACATAAAAAAAATAAAAAGAAAACTTTCAAGATTCAAGATCGACCAAGTCATTCATTAACGCATTTGCTGAATTCAGAACCCCTACTAGCATATACTATGTCTGCCTATTAAATATAATATAAAATAAGTAAGAGTATGCTAGTATTCCTTTCTGAACTGAACAAGTTACTTGCCTGTTCCTGAATGAATCAGCATTTTAAATAAATCGATTCAGTGAACAATTCAAACAACTCACTCATAAAGACAGTCTCTGATTTATTAATCTGGATTATATGATTACAAGTTTTCCCCCATGAGTTTACCTTTTTTTTATCTGTTAAAATAAGACAAATATAAGCAAATGCAAATAATACAGCAAATTCGTTCATATTTTCATATTTCATCTGCATAAATTCTTGTGCACAAAATTGGTATGGAATTTTGGACAAGATGCTTGGACAAGAGCCCTGTGCCAAAGGAACCCCTGAAATGAATCTAAAATTAAATTAATCTCTCACAATATTCTGTGTCAGTATTTGACAGTGAGAACCTGTTGGAATTATAGGCACAGTAATGGAAAAGATGGCTATTGATGTCCTCTGGATCTATCCCAGCCCCTCTTACTGTGATGTACCATCCTCTCTCTCATAGATGTCTGAATCTCCCACACTAGTTTCATTTCAGCAGGACTGTAAACTGAAGTCCGCACGCGATGTGCTCATGTGGGCTGACCTCAGCAGAGTGCTTTTAATAGTGGATTAACAGTGCAGCTAAATAAATACACATTTTCATTCTCTCTGTTGCAGATATTCATATTCGGAGGGTATAAAGCACCTCAGAGTTCAATAAATCTTGGGCTGTCAGACGTTGAGTCACCAGCCCCCTTCGTTTGATTTAAAGGTGACAGGTTTATAACCCAGCACTCCTGGCTTCAGTTTGAAGGTGTCAACTCCTTAACACGCACATACATATAGCCTACACACTACACACACACAGATGTCGTTGTGCCCATTCAAATTGGCACATCTCCTCAGTTTCTGCACCATACATATAAAAAAATTAAAAAGGTAATTGCAATTGTAATTCGGACTGTTTCTAGCAATTCTGACATTTTTCTTTTCTCAGAATTGCAAGTTTACATCTCACAATTTATTATTATTATTATTATTATTATTATTATTAATTTTTATTTTTTTGTTTTTTATTTTTGCATTTGCATTTGTGTTTTCATAGTTTATAAGGAGGCGATAACGGTATCGTTTTCAAAACTTGTAATTTGAAACCCATTTCAGGCCCCTAAAATGCTGTTGTCATGTAAATGAATGGCCAAAACACATAAAAACTTTTCAACAAAAAACTGTGTCGTGTAAACAACTCTAAAAAGTCGCAATTATGGAATTGCTTCATTCTGTGGCAGAAAGAGGTTTCCAAATCAACACTATATGGTAAATTCATATTAATTGTGAAAGTGAAATGACCCAATGACCCAGAAAAAAAAAAAAAAATACATCTAATTGAAAAAGACTATTTGACTGAATATTGTGTCATTTTTTCCAATTGTATATATTTTTTATTTAAATATAAATAATATAAAAGTGTTAAAATACTTAAGATATAATAAAGTGTTACCCAGTGAAGCAGTCATGTTTATCCTTATAGAAATCTAATGCTGTTATGTAAATCACAATCAGTTTGAATGAGTGTGTCATCAAGGAGGGGGGAGGGAATAAATAAATGAATGAATGAATGAATGAATGAATGAATGAATGAATGATTAAATTAAATTAAATTAAATTAAATTAAATTAAATTAAATTAAATTAAATTAAAATTTAATTAAATCAAGAAGGAACAAAGTCTTGTTTGGATAAAGAAGCATAACCAAAACTAGTGTAAAGAGTGTAACAGAGTAAAGCATAATGAAATGATGAATACAGAGCACCACTGACCAGAGATCTTCATGTGTAATAAAACAAACGTAGGGTTGATTTATTCATCTGTGGAAAGTGCTTGTGCAGAATTCCAGAGAAAGCTGGTGCTGGTGCTGTTTTTTTTCTAAAATGTTGAGCAAAGGTGTCATGCAACCTCTTGAAAATGGAACCATTCAGTTTAGCTGTGCCAGAAAAAATTATTTATGGCATATGCATGATTTCAGACAGGATGTAGAGTTAAATTTGGTCAGTGCAGTCAGTGTTGTTATTCATGCATTCATATGATGTATAAATGTGAAAAAAGAAATACACTGACTTTATAAAACTGGCACATTTACTGTAATGGGACAGTAATGGATTTCTCTCAGTAATGAATGTCTCTGTAATTAATTTCTAACTTACAATTCAAATTACATAGCACTCCCCCCAATAAGCTGGCTTATGTCAAGGTATAGTTTGGGGTCTGTAAGATTTAAGATTTTTGTTTTCCATTTTAATATATTTTATAATGTAATTTATTCCTGTGATGGCAACACTGATTTTTTTGTTACTCTAGTCTTCACTGTCACATGAACATTCAGAAATCATTCTATGCTGATTTTATCACGGATTAATAGTTTTTAGGGTTAACTTTCTCTCTGATAACCCTCCCAAACTTGTGGTGATGTCGGTGCTG